AGCTTAGACCTGAACAGATTTTTTTTATCATTTCGTATAAGATTTTCATGCTAACAAAGGAAAAAAAAATAAAAAAAAAATTTTGACCCACCCTGCTGGACATAGAAACTAAAGTACAAATGAAAAAAATTACTAATTTTATAAAGAAGTCAAAAATACTTTCTTAAATTTTTGGAAATGTCAACAGAAATGTCAAACATTAGGACGATAAATTACTGCTTCAACTTGCTCTATTATAATTTTTTTTTTTGAAAATTTGCTTTCTTCTGCCTGAACTTGGGCTGCTCTACTTGGATTTCTGTTTTACTAATTAAATTTATTGTAACTTACAAATAAATTATATTTTTCACAACATTTTAATTCGAATTTCCATTAAATTGGCTCAAAGTATCGACTTCATTTAACTTTTTACACTCAAATTTTTGAACTAGAAAATAGTAAAAATAATGTGTAATAGATACAGTAAGGAGTATTTTCATTAATTTCGCTTTTAAATAAAATCTACAAATTTGTTCATAAATTTTTAAATTCAGAATTGATTGACCACCAACTTACTTATATATTTGAGTTGGTACTTATTTATATATTCGTATAGACATAAATATAGAATTTCCTTTCTAATAATCACACAACTATTACTCACATATATACATACGCATAGCTGGCATTAAGTTGAAAATGTGTCGCATTGAGCAAAGATTTCAACGCAAATGCCACCCATACACCCACATAGTCTACCGCCTTGGCGTATGAGTGACCTAATATCAATGCATTACGAATATTAGTTGCTCATACGCAGTGGTGTGGAAAGTTTCACTGATTTATTGATTTGTGTATGCATTATGTACAAATGAAGAAATATTTTATGCATATATATATATATATGTATATGAACGCTTATGTACTCTGAGCTTGCACTCTGAAGTATATTCAACAGTATACAAATTTAATTGTACTCTAAGTTTGTATTACCACCTCAAGGTCAATTGGTATCAATTCAGCTAATTTTTTGTAGGAATACAGCCAGATTTCGATTTGAATATACATATTCCCAAAAAAAAATATGGCTTTGTTTAATAAGAAATTAATGCAATAAGTCGTTACATATTCAATTCCTTATAGTTTTGGTATAAAAACTTATTCAATAAAATATATACATACACGTATGTATCTAATTAACATAGCTCTACTAATCAAATACATTCTAAGCTCCTTCATTTACCTTTCATTTTGTATATACCCCACTTGGTCAGTTTACTTTATAGGCCATACGTGCGTATATACACTTCAAGAAGTTTTTTACGATTTGATGTTCTTCTATAAATTTTGCCGTGTAAATGTAAATAAATGCTTTCCTATGTATATAATACTATATTTATGTGCTCATATTACATGGACATAATTAAGCAAACACACATATGTATAGAGTTGGTTTGTTTGTGGCTAAAGAAAAGGCAAAATGTCAAGCGCCTTCATTAGTTCGCTTTATTTAATTTGTTTCCCTGATATGCCTTTGAGTTTTCCTTTTTTGCCTTGGTGTCTATTCCTCTGAGAATACAATACATCTGGTATGCCGTGCATATAGAGTTTGTACTTGGTGACATTTGAGGACAAATTGTAAGGCATATATATATAATACATATAGTTTTCAGGTACATACATATAAATGTGATTGCTAAAGAAAAAATCTGTTTTTCTCATAATATTTTAAAATTTATTGAAAAAAAACTTCATGATGACGCGAGATAAAGTAAAAGTTTTTAAAATAAAGAAATTTTCTAAAATAATCCGTGTGTTTATTATTAAAACTCTATTTACTTGTACCAAAAGCAGGTTTAAGAAAAGAAAAAATGAAAAAATTGAGGGGAACATGAGCGTTCTCTAGACTATAAAAAATTTAGCCAAAATTCATATTACCATTAACTAATATTTTTGTTTTTTTTTCTCTGCTCTATTTTAAAGTCTCTACTACACCTCATTCGCATTTAAGCTTTTGTGTATGCGTATTGAGCTCTTAATCCAACTATGTGATATCGAATAACACGCTTGATGTACATAATAAATTTCATTTCTTTCTACCAACCATACTTGGCCATGTCCTTTAGTCTGGAGCTTGGGTCATCATGAAAGATATAATGCCTCAATCGAAGGAAAGTCAAACAACTCGTCAACTTAGAGTATTTCAACGGTTTCGGCCTTCTCTGTGCAAGCTTTGAACTCAGCTGAATCATCTAATTTTTGAATATTAAATCTCAGTTTCTTTTTCACTCAGTGTTTGTAAAAATTTAGTTTATCTGTAAAGCGCGCTAATCCACATTAGTTTAGTGGTACAGCGCAACACCACCAAAGCCCCAGAGCTAGTAAGGTTTCCTCTAGGCACCATTCCTTTATACGATATTTGAGGCCGCTCAAAGATCTAATGCTGCCAATAATGACAGCGACAACATCGGTTCATATGAAGGTCTAGTAGTCTCTCTTGTAGTAGTCATTTGTTGGCACTCCCAGGCTCTCTTTTAGTACTATACTCGTACAACTACATATTGTCAATGGATATTAGATCTAAATTCCCTGTGCCATCCTTTCAAATCAATCTGACGTGAAAGCAAGTTCTTACAGCAAACATAAAAGAGGATAACCTTCTACTTAAAATTCTCTCATATTGGCGGCTAGAAAAGCCGTTTTGTAAGCATTACGTAATCACATTCCGAAGATTTGTTTTGATGTGTTGAAATATTTAATTTATCAAAAATCAATTTTGAAACCTTGATTTTATTAGCGTTGGTCCGTAATATGTAAGTGTCAGAAAGAGAAGAGATAGACCCATCCAAATTCATACTGATCGGCTTTTTTGATATTTCAACTAAACATGGTAAACATTTGTCTACCGTGACAGTGTCTACGGTACATTTAAAAGATCATTTTGCCGGAACCGGCTAGATAGTACTACTATACCATATTTACGACCGAATTTCCCGAACTGGGGCATCTACAAGCGTGAGATTTGCACACAAACATAAAAAAACATTGACACCGATTTCCATGGAAATCGGAGAACTTCATTCTATAGCCCCCCCCCCCCAAAAAATTTTTCTGTAACGAGAATTCACATTATATTTCCTTGGCAGGGAATGTCAAACCTTCTGAGTGTGTTTATAATATGAAAATAAAAGTTCCTCATAAAAATCCAGTGGCAGCTCAGATACAGTTGGAAAAACCTCAAGATGCACCCCCCCACTTCGGAGAAGGAGCTCGGTATATATATATGTATATATACGCATATATATATCCATAATAATCGCAAGTGGTTTTCATCATAAAATCACATTAAATTTTAATATATCATACATATGTTTGTATGTATGCTCGACATTTTTGAGTGCAAATGACATTTGTACGGCATAAAGCTGCATAACATATTTATTGCATATACAATATGTATACATATATACATACAAATGTTACGCATACGCCAAAGTGAGCAATTCATGCAATCCGCACTGACAGTGACATTAGACCAGCATTTACACATACGTGAGCAAATAGATGTGTGCTTCTGCATACACTTACATATGTATATATTTATGTATGTATGTACATATATCCTAAGCACATCTCGACTACAAGTGTTTGCAGAGCATACAGTATGAGCAGCGGGAAAAAAATAAAATAAAAATAAAAAAAATAAAACAAAAATAAAAAAAAAATAAATAAAAATAAATAAAATAATAAATATGCCATTATGTGTATGAGATGTTTGCACGTATGCATAACTGTTAGTGAATAAAGCGCTTGATTGTATTTGAAGATGTAATACAAGCATACATATGTAGGTATATATACTATAGTTTTTTACAAGCTTAAAGGTCTATACCACAATCTTCCCCTTACGCACACATACATACATATATACGTATATATACATGTATTAACATTTGGCTCACCGCTTTGTGACATTTGTTGATACGACCGCCCTCCCGACCAACGTCATACCAGCCAGCATAAGCACTGAGTAAAGCAGAAGAAGAAATAGAAGAAGAAGAAGAAAGAGCAGCAGTTGAAAACTCATTTAACGTCACTGCTAACAAAGCCAAAATATCGTTATACACACATAAATAACTCAAATTGTCTATTGGTACATACATACATGCATGCCTACATATGTACGCACTGCATATGTATATACTCGTACGTATAAGTAAAGTTCAGTTATGTTGATGCCAACGTCACTTTATATTGCGCGCGCATCTGTGTGTGTATGTGTATGTGTACAGTGTGAGTGCCGTTGCTACAGGATACGCTATGTGGTGTATAACTCCAAGCCCGATTTCACTCAAAAATCACTCAAAAAATGTATTGACTGAGAGTCGGTGTGTGTGTGTGTGTGGCGAAAAGCTTTTTAAAGTTATTTGCAACTTTTGTTTATTTTTCTCTTTATTTAGCTTGGTGTGAGCGCAAATGCTTTAGTGCTTCAGTGCTTTGGAGCTTCAGTGATTGAGTCATACACCTTATACAGGTCATATTTAATTGTTCGCAGCTTACTTTTACTGGTGTCTTTCCACTTTCTTGATTCGTAATACTTACAATGAAGAGGCCACAAGGCCATTAATGAATGAATCAACGGCAGTCAAATTTAGTAAATTTCTTTTTTATTCTCTCATGTGCTGTCATTTGTTTGCGGCAAACCTTTTAAAAAAAAATTCTCATTTTTTAGGACCAGCAAGTACTTTAAGTACATTTTGTCATATTGTGACGTATGAAGTGTGCAAATTGCTTGAGCAGCTTTCGCCAGCGCTGCGAGTGAGTGAAATGTTGCATGAGTGCTTTCTCCTATGAAAAAGTCTTAGTTGTTTATTTACATTTCATTCTGAGCTACTCAGTTCAAGGCATACTTATGTACATACGTGTATGTACATATGTATGGTCATATGTATGTTAGTAGGTATACAGTTATACAGATGGTTGGTTAGTCTGGCCATAAAACAACAGCAGAGACAGTATCAGTTAGTGTTGTACATTTCGGGTTGTTGGTTGTAATTGTGTTTTAGTGTACGCTTGGCTGGAACGTTGCTGTATTTCTCATATGCACACGATATTTACTAACCAATTATAGTGACAAATTGGTAAAAAAAAATATATATATAATTGCCATTCACCAGCAAATTATACAACGCTAACCAATTTAAAGTGGTGAATAAAAGCGAAAAACAAAGAGAGAGAGAAAAAAAGAAAAAATAGCGTGAAAACGAAGCCGAGCAAATAATTAACTGCAAAAAAGTAAGCATTCATCAACAAGCGATAACGGTTAAATTAGTGTGCGGCATAAATCAAAGCTACATATATATATATATATAATATAAAATAAAGGAAAATTGCGGTATTTCATCAATAGTCATCGAATAATAGCAAAATTTTACAAATTTATTGTTCGTCAGAAAAGCTGTTTGTTGGATTGGTACATTTGGGTCATAACTGCCAGGCAAACAAATTTGAGTAAGTCAATATGTACATACGTGTATGTAAAATGTATGCATATGTTTAAAAGGCAAACAAATTCAATTGTTAAATTTTATTAATTAAAACGGCGGAAATCGTCCTAAAAATATTTATATATTTATGTGTGTATATTTTTACACATACATATATACAAAATATAAGCAAACAGTAACTTTATATCAATAACTAGCTAAATTAAAAATATTATGTACTTTTGCCCAACCAATAACCAAGGGTCACGCAAATATTTGTTAATATACAAAAAAAAAAATAAAATAAAAAAAAAACTATTTAACTGTTTCAAATATTTATACGAGTATAATCTACATATTTCTCTCAGCTCTTTAATGGCATTCAATTTATTGAACTATTTCCCTCTTCAGCGCACATACACGTATAACGCATTAATATAACAATACATATTTCAGTGTACATACATACATATAACTACCCATTTACTTGTCAATGCAAACTCATTACTCATTTTCCAACTTTTTTATACTGAACACAACACACCCACCTAACTTCCGAGTGCAAAAAAAAAAAACCAAAATGTTTGAATAGTTACTTTTTTTTTATTGAAAGAAGAAAGCATTATTCATCTCCAACGAACAATAAGCGTCATGTGTATTCCAAAGAAAGCGCCCAAAAATATGAGCAGTCACAGTCGAATAGACACAACAGAAAAATCAATAGCAAGAACTTTTCTCTTCAAAAGTTACCGGAAGAGGGATGAACATTCCATTGTCTACTCACTCGAATTTGATATGGTTTTTATAATGAAATGTATAAATTTAGGATTTAAATGTTCGCCTAAGTACATTCCTACTTGCCTTTGGACTGCTCATGATTTTTTACATATTTATTTTCTCTTTAAAGTAAGATATATTTTTATAAACATATATACATACACACATACATAATTTATACATATGTATTTGCATATTATATAAAATAATCATTGTAGTAGGTTGTAGTAGGTGATTATCTTTAGTTACACGTATGCATATATCGACTCATACCTAGTAGATATATAGATGTGAAGGATGGATCACCCTTCGAGGTCTCCTACTTTTTTAATGAAAGAAAAAACACATAAAATTCAATTTTAATGCGGAATGTTCATTATCACACCAAATAACATTCTATGGCATTTATTTTTTCAAGAATGTCTCTTTGTTGGCCGCGGCTACGTCACAGATGGTCCAACAACCGTTGACTCCAGTTTTCGATGACTCCGTTCGTGCATTTGGGCTGCTAACAGGTGAATGACACGCATGATGTTTTGCTCCAAGGCCTGAATCGACGCGGGTTTGTCCGCATAGACTTCAGACTTTACATATTCCCACAGGAAAAAGTCTAACGGTGTGATATCACATACATAAAATTATCTGCTCACCGAAGTGTTCTATGAATAAATCCATTAAAAAAGAAAGTATCCTCATCTTGTTGAAACCAAACGTCGCTGAGATTACAAGCTTCAATCTCAGCCATCAAATAGTCGGTTATCAGGACGTGATAACAGACGCAATTGAGGGTTACATTCTGATTTGGTGTAATTTTCTAACCACACCAAAATGTTGTTTTCTCTGAATGAAATGGTAATTCTTGAATCTCTTCAGGTTGCTCTTCCTTCCAATTTTGTTTGTTTACTTACTCAAAAAATGAATAGAAATGGTTCTCATCCTGCACAAAACTTGGCTCGTAAATGTCGGAGTTTCTTTGAACTTTTCAATGTTCCAATATCACTTTGGAAGGTCGAGCGGCTTCAGTTCTTGCAGAAGCTGCATTTTATACGTTTTCAATTTATGATCACGACGTAAAATGCGCCAAGTAGTTCCATACGTCAGTCGGAGTTACTGCGAACGGCACAGAATCGAGTCACCACGGTCTTCATGTGCATTCTCAGCAACGGGCGCTATAGTTTCTTCTCCGGGTGTTGGACGTGGTCTATTCGGTCGAATATTATCCAATAATAAATGCTGGGTCTTAAGATGGGTGATGGTGTGGCGAATAGTAATAGTTGAGAGAGTTTTCGTAATTAATTTGAAGAATTGTTATTCAGGCGTGAGTCTTGCACAAATGAACAATTTCCATGATGAAATGTCAAACAATTTTTTTTTGCCAAATAATAGTGAGCAAGTCAGCATGGCACTGACGCTCTCCTAAAACAGCTATTGATAATAGTACCTCTACTAGGATCACCCGTGGAGGGTTCTTGGTTTGCGAGTTTACAAAATCAGACTAGGAACATAATTGAAGTCGAACGATTATCAAGGGTGTCGCACTTTCGGTAAGTGGGTACAAAACGAGACCAATTTACAAAAGAAAATTTTGTTCAGCGAAGAAACTCACTTTTGGTTGAAGTTAATAAACGAAATTGTCGCCTTTGGAGTGATGGTAATCCACAAGCCATTGCTGATTACATCCACAAAAAGTCACTGTTTGGTGTATTTTATTGGCAGAGGAAAGCATTGTGGCATATTCCTTCAAAAAGGAAGCCATTATAGCCGGCCAATAAGGAATGCTAAAAAACCAAGATTGATGACTTTATTGAGCCTAAGTTCCTGAATATTGATGTGGACAATCTTTGGTTTCAACAAGGCGGCGCTACATGCCATATAGCAACGAATCAATCAAGTTATTGAGTAAACTTTTCGCTTTGTTGGCCTGTGACGAGGCCTCCAAGAGCGATAAATATATCATTGCTGGGCTGTTTTTTGTGAAGTTATGTGAAGATATGCCAGAGGCAACTGACGCCTTGGAAGATAATATGGCCGCCCCTTGGCAGGGAACTTCAGCCCCAACGAGTGTGTTTCTGACATGAAATAAAAAAACCGCCAGCCTTTCGGAAGCGACTTAGTATAAACTAAAGGTCCCTCTGGTTGTTGGAAGATCATCAAGACGCAGACCTCAAACTGAAGGGGAAGCTCGGCCGAAAATCACTTCAGCGGTCACAAAGCTCGAATTGCATATATATATATATGCATGCATATACTATGTGTATAAATATATACAATAGATATTATTTTATCATAATAGAGAAAGAGCTAGTTTCAGCCAGACTCACGTCATTTCATAAAATTATTTAAAGTTTGATATTTTCTTTAGAATAATATTTAAGTACAGAAATTATTATAATAACACTTACTGCAGTGATGTGCGGAGAGAAGTCGGACTGAAAAGTAAATATTTAAAATAAAAAACGAACCAAAAAATGTTTGACATTATGAACCATAAAATATTATATGTATTTATATTTTCTGTGCAATAACGATTAGCTCCAAAGAGTACATACTTCAACTGAAAAGTCTGGCAAATTGAACGCCTCACTTTGAACTTTGTGCCTTAACTTTTTGCATATTTGAGCGATTTTATTAGTGCTGCAAGGTAAATAAAAGTTAACTTAAGTACTGCCTATTTAAATATTAATATGCATATAAATTTATGCATAAATATGTACACTTAAAATACTGCAGGTATTGTTAACTCACCATAAAGTTTTTGGCAAAAGCTGCATACCTTGCTTTTGAATTGCTTTTTCGAGGGCACTTTCAGACGGTAGCGAGCATTATTATTTATTATACAAATTTACATATCTTCATGAAATAAATAGTTTAGTAAGATGTCTGCAAGCAAAAGTCACAATAGTAAGCAAAAATTCTAGTTAAATACTGGTATGTTAAAGGCGAAATAATACCAGTTGGACACATGTCGGCAAAGGTACAGCAGCTCACCAGTACAGGGATTAATAATAATCTCCACCACCACGGCATTGCTATGTTATATTAACCACGAATATGTTAGTTTTCTGTTATACTCTGTTAAACTGCATTGTATGCCGCTACTCGTTACATTGCTACGATGGCCGAGCGATTAATCTCGCGCAAGCGAATATATTTTAATTTTATGCGAAGTAGAAATTCAAAATGAGTAAATGAACTAGTTTTTTAACTAGTAAGAAGCTGATGCATAAACGAACAATTGTGAGTTCATAGGACATACCCATGAGGAAAATACTAGTTGCCGATTCGGGAAATGGTTGAAATATAAACTAGTTGGTGTAAAAATGCAAACTAGTTGGATTCTAGTTATTAACTAAAATCTTATCCTGCAGCTATTTGTGATACGTCAAACATTAGCTCTGTTAAAATTGGGTGCTAGAATTAACAGTACAGCTGTAGTGGCAGTTAGTTCTTCTATTAAGTGATAAGCTATTTAATATTTACACGGTACAAATGCAGTATGAGTAAATTTGTTTTTCCTTTTCAAATCACTGTTTAGCTACAATACTTTTGTATGACAATGTACTGGAAATTTCCATCAGCTTACAGCGCTTTAATTACTTTTCAACTGTTACTAACTCAAAATTCACAACGGTGAACTAATTAAAGATAATTATGCACTTTCGTAAAATAAGAATAAAATTCAGTTGTTTTTTCCTTTAGCAACTCGATTTGATGACACACTTCATTTAATTAGTTTAACAATTATTTTTTATGCAAGTAAATACGAATAAGTAAAATTATATACTTATATATGTATACCCTTCATACCTAGATATATAAAACAATATTTAGTGCACGAGAGGTATATTGAGTTTTATTTATTTGATCAGAAATACTAAGACCCGAAAAGAACAAAGAGACTATTCATTAAATTGAAGGCTTTATTACCATGGAATTACACGACGCAAACGCAACAACAACACTTTCCTGACCATCAATCCTGGCAGAGTAATTATATTTCGAAGCGAACATACCTTGCAACGATCTTTGCTTATATCCAAATCATTTTTTTGTCTATCTTTCGGTGATCTATTCCGTAAAGAAAATTTTTCTTTTATTATATTTCGAGCAATTCAAACTGGGTTCCAGGCCTCTGGCTAATTGCACAAAAACAAAAGTAGGCATATCATCCAAAAAATTTAAGCAAATCGAGGCTTTTTTAGAATTTTTTGTTGCACTTCCGGCCCCAAACCGTAAGCATAACCACAC